AAGTGTTATAGATATTTTTGTAGATGATAAGTCTGTGACTATAGTAATAATTTCATTTGGTACTAAGCCTGATAGAGTTGAGAAAATTGAAGGTAGGTCTGGTATATTGTGACTGGACATACAATTTAGTTATTTGATTTGATAGTGTAGGTTAGTTATAATTTCTGAATTAGTATTAAGAATAGTAATATTAAGAATATGTTATAATTATTCATTTATAAGATTATTTAATAATTGATCAGATAGGTAAGTTGTCTAATAAAGGTAAGAGCTGGTGTGTTGATATTAGTGACAGGTAGATGGGTATAAGTGATAATATTTGTGTAAAATGTGTAAGGCAGGAAGTTTATTTAGTAAAATTTTAATTTTAAAAGACTTAAAAATAAATGATTGAAAGCTATATGAGAAGTTTAAAATTTTTTAATTGTTGTTGATATACAGCCAAGTGGCTTGCTAGTTGATTTGATTAAGAATTTTTTCCTTTTTAAGGAAGTGGTTTTGAGTAATCCATAGTGTATAAATATGTGTATAACAAATTGTATGAATACTGTGACAAGTTGGTAGTTTAAGAGAAAAATTCTTAAGAATAAGAGTATAAGCTGGGTTATAAATATTATATACCATAAAAGTAAGATATAACAAGTTATAATAATTACATGCAAGTTGATTAGCTAAATTATTATATATATTATCTTGATAAGCAGTGACTTTGTAAAAGATAATTTGAATTTTGTATAAGTTAATAAAGTTGATAAGTGGGTTCCAAAGTGAAAAGTATAGTATATATATATATGATAGAGTAGTAAAGGAATTTAAAAGATTTTGGTATTTTGAAATTACAGATTGAAAGTCTATATATATATTTACAGTATAGTTTCTAGGAGTAGAATATGAGCTGATAAGATAGCAGTAAGTTCTGATTTGAATGAGCATGGCCAAAGTTTAATTTGTGTCTAAAATGTATGCAATATAGAATTATTGTTGACTTGAACTCATCTAATGCCTATAGAGCATTGAGAAGTACTCAAATTAATAACAGAGCCATTAGTATAGAAATGGAGTTTTTGTTGGTTAATGTTGTAATTGGCAATTTGTTGAAATTTATAAGTTAGTATATAGAGTTCAAAGATAATTGGAATTGAGTTTGTTAAAATAATAATATTAGATAGGCTTGGAGTTTGGGTAGGATGTCTGATTGCAATTGAGTATAAGAGGTCCAAATGATTGGTATTAAAGTTAAAAGTTTTGTCATTTGTGTTAACTCAACCAAAAAATTAAGTTAAAAGATTAATAGGAATAGCAATTGTATATTTGTTATTGATTGTATGTGAGTTAAAAAAACAACCAAGATATGTCTTAGATTAAATAGGTGTAAGTAAATATAAGTGAATAAATTGTGATTCAATTTGGCATTGCTAGTAAGTAATAAGCATAATGCCAGATTAAGAAGATTGTCTTCTGACTTTACTAATAATAATTTAGTTATCAAGTACTATAATAAGCCAGAGTTTTTTATATGATGAGAAGTGTTCAGTTGTATAACTATAGTAGTTAGTATCAGGTAGGTATAAGTATGAGTATAGTGTACAGTTATAAGAATGACTTGTAACTTGGTCTTCTAAATAAGTGATTGTTTGCCTTTTAGAATTTTATGAATATAAGGAGAGATGTGTTTCCAATCTAATAAACATAAATTATCAATTGTAGTAAGTTGGTCTAAATATAGAATATCATAATATTTAAGTTGTTTTTTGAAAGTTAGATATTTAGGGTATGAGCAGAGAAGAGATTCTAATGAAATAAAACCCTTTTGAATAATATGTAAAATGTTGTAAGTTGGGTTAAAGATAAATGTTATACCAAGGTATTTGAAAAGTTAAATAATTTTAAAGTTAGTAGAATGTTTGTTTGGTCTATTAATAATATGTTTGTTATATATTAGTATACTAATAGCTAATCAAAAAGTATTTTGAAGTTGTTGAAGTCAAATATAAGTACTAATACTAAGAAAATCAAGAGAATTAAGTCTTTTGATATAGTTTGTAATATAGTATTTTTTTTCTAATAATTAATAATTAGTAATTATTTTTTTTTAAATATATATATTTTCTTTTAATCTTTTTTTTTTGTGTTTTTAATAAACAATATTTTGTTTATTTAATAATAAATTATTAATAAAAGAGATGTGACAACCTAGTGAAATAAATAAATTATCAATCTTCAAATGGCAGGTTTAGAGTTCAAATCCTAGTAATAGTAAAAATTTGCAATTCTTTTTATATTATTGTTAACTGTCTTCTATAATTGATTGAAATTAGATACTTGTAATCTGTATCATATTAGTATAACTAGAAGATCTAGGTATTTGTATAATATTATATGAAGAAACACAAACTAATACTGGATAATATGAACTCAAGATAAATCCTTAGGCCATATAAATTACAGAAACTAGGTAAGAAGATGGAAACCTATTTAGAAAACCTAAATAGAGAGGTAATCTGAATTTTTAACAGTGTTGCTGTAAAGACTAGACTTATAAAATAAAACTAGAACTTATGAAACTAGGAAAATATATCAGTCTTTAAAGAGAAATTAGATGAACCAACTAGATTATTGGAATTTTTGGATTTTGAAGGAAAAGGATACATGTTGGCAAACATGTAAATCAGAGGTATAACCTACCTTTTTGGGCTATTTGGAATGACAGCTTGGTGGAACTTGAATTGAATACCAAAGTAATAAGGATATGTTGTAAAGTCAGTATCAAGATTGGGATGAACTTTACAAGAACATAGTGATTTAATGATATACTCTGATTGCTAGTGTTGGTCTTGACTATAACAATACTAGATTAGCTGTAAAAATAGAATACAGAAGATTCTAGAAGGTTTAATACAAGGTTAAAGGTTCTAAAGAACTGTTTTAAAGAATTAGTGATTATAATATATTTTCATCAGCATTGACTGAGGTTATTGGTAAGCAGAAGTATGTGGGTGAATATGAAAACTAGAGTGATTAAATAAGAAATCTACATGTAGGTTCCAGGTATGACAACTAGTATAAAACCTTTAGGTAAACTACTTAAATTAGATAATAACTAAAGTTGTATAAGTAACTAGTTGTACACTCTTTCTATGACTGCCTCCTGTAATTATAATGCAACTATTAATCAAATATACTATCAATAACATTCTAGGTTGCAAGTACACACCTTAATATTTAAAAAAATATATATAAAAAAAAAAAAATTATTAATAAATAAAAATGTTTAAGTATGTCTTATTTTGTTATTAACATACAATTAAAACACAAATGACTAATTTAACATTTAGGAAGTAATTAAATTTACTAACTAAAAAACTTTAATTTGTCAAACAAAAGTATAAGATAAGAAGAGAAGAAGTAATAGAATAGAATTTAAAAACAAAACAAACAATATATCAAATTTTCAAATGTATGACACAGAATTTTTTTTAATAAGTCTTTCAAACAAATATGAATTTTACTATAATGGAGATAAAATATGTACTTTAATCCCAGAAACTAAACATTATAAAATCTGTTAAATCAAAATTTTTAAAGATAAAATTTCATATAATCATTTTTCTTTATTTTTTTTGCTAAATATGTAAAAAACAAATATTCAATTAATAATTATAATAATTGTATAATATATAATAGAAAAAATGTTACGTATGAAAATAAGGTACTTATCTATCAAATTTAGAATCGGTTCTCTTAATAAAGTAATTTGAAAGAATAGCATGAAAGAAATCTCAAATTATATTTTATAATCTTTTGTAACCAATTTTTAAATCCTAACACATTATACTTTGTCAAGAATATAAATCAGTGTCCTTTGCAAATCTTAAGTTTCAAAAAACATTAAATAAGAAAATATAAAAAGAATGAATTTTACCAATAATTTACTTTGAGCTTGGCATTTTCGAATAATAGTAGATGCGTCTTGTTCTAATACTCTGCCCCTTTACATAAAACTATTATAAAGAGTTGTCATAGTTTCACATTTGTAGAAAAAAAATTATAAGTGCTAGTTCATGCAATCAGCTATTTAGTAAAGTTTGATTAATATCATTGAAGCTTCGATCAAAATGTGATTTATGTGCAAATCTCAAATTAAATAGCTTGACTTATGCAATTAAAAAATCAGGAAATGGAATTTATTACACAAAAAAAGGTTTAATAAAATCCGGCAAACAAGTGAAATCTTATGAAAAGTCAGAACGTTTAAATACATAAAATCACACTAATACCATTTGCATTGCTATAATTATAATGCATAACTTTAGAACTATACTAATAAAGTTACATTTAAAAAAGCATATTTGTAAAGAACAACTTTTTTTATAATGCATAACCTTTAAACTCAACACTTACCCGACAAATTCGATCTAAAATTTTCTATTTTTAATTCTATAAATCTATAGAATTAAACTAAAAAAATTTTGCCCGAATTTGGTCAGGTAAGTGTCGAGTAATCTTCGTTTAAAGATTAAGCACTATAAAAAGCTGCGGCTTAAATTTCTAATATCGGCGATCATTCAATTGGGTCCGATAAGTCGGAAATTGATGTACGGTCACGTGATCTCGACATTTTTCTAGTCTACCACCCTAGTACGTACGAAGTACAGTATTTGTTCATTGCACAGTATGTCGATAAATAATATTCTCATGTGATATCTGGTTTTTTGTGTAATAAATTTAAGTATTTGTATGAGTATCAGAAATTTCTGATTCGTTTATATTAAAACTTCTGAAAGACCAAATGTCAGAAAACCATAAATTAAAATCAGACAATGAAGATTTTTGCAATTGGGAAACATTATATAAAAATGTATTAAACTATTACAATATAAAATTCATATCAGAATCACGACAAACAATTGCAGAGGTATTGTAAAATGTATACTCGCATATTTCTTTATTTGATAAGCAGGTTTCTAAATAACTATTTTTTTTTTATATAAAAGATTTTTGAAAGCGATTTGGTTATTAATCTTAACGAATTTTTTGCAAAGCAAAACAATGAAATTAAAGCAAACATTATTCGTATTTATGGTGATGTAGTTCAGCTTTCGAATAATCTCGAAATTCAAAACTTGAAATGTCGTGGAATTATTTTAATAGCTGCAAGACGATTTGAAGTCAAACGAGGATGTCAAATTTCTATTGATTATAAAGAAGAGAAGCATTTTCAATTATTGATATATGCTATGGAGATGCCATCAGAACTTAAAATCATTAAAAGTAAAGAAACCGATCATCTCAAATTTAAAATCAATAGTCCAAATCTTGGTGGATTAATTTCTTTGCACAACGGAGAATTTAAAAATATACCTATTTTTGATAGTGTGATTCTTAAAAAACAATCATTCATCAAATTATTGCGATTTTCTCTACAAATCGCAGTTGCTTTATTTTACGATAATCGCGAAATTACACGATCAATTCTTATATGGATTATTACAATTAGTGAACAATTGAAAGGCAAAGAGGAAAAAGAATTTGAAGTGGCAAAAAAGGTATACAATTATGCATCAAGAATGCTTGAACAATTAAATGCTTTCATTGAAAGGGAGGAAAGTGGATTTACTTTGGTTCCTCAACTTGATATGAAAAGTTACAAAGAACATCTTAATCATTTAATGAAGTTTGCAAAAGACTATGAAAACCAATATAAAGATATTCTAAAACAAGAGCATATTGATAAACAAAAGATAGAAAAGTTGAAAGATAAGCTACAGGAAACTAAGGATATAGCCGAAGTGCATGAATTTTTAGAAGAAGTGGAAAAAAAGCAATTTGAACTATCACATAATGTGAGGGAAGAAATTGAAAATAAGATTCAGGTAAGTTTTACATTATTTGTCGTAAGAATTTAGAAAAAAAAAGTTTTTTTAAAAAGAAAAACAAATAGGAAGGAAAAAACCATGCAGTAAATGCATACAAGGAACTGAAAAAAGGAATTGACGATTGGTTGAAAGATCAGAAACTTGCTGCACTGAAAGAACTATTCTTTGCTGTTCTTGGATTACCTTTAAGTATCGGTAAAGTTTTTATCCAGCCTGGAGGTGTACTTAATTTGGTTGATACAATAAAAAAAGTATCCAATTCACTTAACAATGTCTTAAATAATAAGGAAGGAATTAAGGACTTGATTAACATAACTAACGATGAAGATATAAAAAAGGACATATATCTATTTAAGGAACTAAATAATAGAGTTAACGAAATTAAAAAGATTAAAAATGAACTAGAAGCCAGTCACAATAAGGCTGTCAACGTATGTAATTCTACAGAGGAAATAAATCAAAAACTCAAATTATTTGCGAATACCGAAAATCTTGACAAAAGGTAATTCAAATTGTTAAGAAATGCTAAATCATCGAAATTATTAAATATTAGATAAACTTAATTTGCTGTTATTTCTATTAGACTTGAAACGGATCCAGAAGGACACATTTTAAATCTCCATTGGGAACCAATTAAGAATAACATTAACAAGCTGCGTGAATTTATAAAAGTATTTATGTGCATTTCCTTTTATCGTACAAGTCGGTTAAACTCAAACTGATAATGATCAATTAAAATTTAATTTTACATCAATTTGATAGCCAATCGAGCAAAATATTAAAGGTGCAGAAGAATACTTTAATTCTTCAACAGAGTTTATCAGTTTTATTGACACATACATTAAAGCCAAAATTGATGGAAACAAAAGATCTATAGAACTTTCACGAATTCAGGAGCAAGTAGAAAAAGACAATAGAATAAAAGAACGGCTTGAACAAAGGATCGAATCAAAAATCAAATCACAAAATGACGAAATTAAACTTCTATTATTCGAGCACCTCATCAATATTAAATATTCTATGACTCTATTCATGGACAAATATCGATGTGCTTACGAATATCGGTATCTATCTAAATCCAATTTGAAACTTTCACTTATTAAAGAATTTAATGAAGACGATATCAATAAAATGATTAAAGATATCGAAAATGTCTCTAATAGTAGACCTCAGGAAAAACGGCCTCCTGCTATTGAATTTAAAGGAGAATATGTTGATAAATTTAAACAAAATAAATCCGTTAAAGTTGATATTACACCGGATAATGATAAATTAAATGATTATGCACATCTAAGGCTTCATGCATTTAGAGTATATTTAAAAGGTGTTGGAACTACAGGCGAGCTAATTAAACTTTACATTAGTCATTTTAACGATTTTTATGACAGGGATAAAGAAAATCAAATACATCAATTTAAATTAAAAGGTGAAAAAAAAGGATTCGAATACAGAGTATATGAAGATTATTCTCCTAATAAAATAGACGAAAGTTACATAGAACTAGATAATCTTTATTATGATGAAAAGGATAAAAATTATTATTTTACTCCAACACCATTCAGTCAATGGGAAATTAGTCTTAAGACAACAAATACTGATCTGTCCGCATTGGAATCGATTAATATCCATTTGGTAGCATATGTTTCTGTGATCTAGAGAAATAACAAAATGGTTTATAATTTATAAATTCTGTATTGTCATATAATAACAAAAAAATAAAATTTTATTCGATTTTTTTTTTATTTTTCATGGGATTACTTTCAAAAATAGTTATTTAGTATAGTACAGCATAAATTTAATAATACGTGTGGTTAATTTTAGTTCGATGCTAATTCCTCTCAATTAGTTCTGAGTGGATGAATGTAAATGTCTTCCCTAATTGACAGAATGAATTGGAGTGGCCATGTTTGATAGTTTCGTGGCATGCACCAAAGAGCATGCCCATGCCCTTGTCTTTCAAATCCTAATATTAATTATTATCCGGCCGCTTACTACAGTCGAAATATTACCAAATAAGATAGCTGCGCGACGCAGTCGCACTAAAAACCAGGAACGAAGGCATATATAGTAGTTAAAAAATGGTCTGAGTAACGTAAATAGGAAATCCATTGAATCTAAATTATTAAAGTTTTAATTAACGTTAATGGATATAGAAATTTTATATACCTCCGAAGAAATAAATATCTATTTTCCTAAGAGGATTAATAAAAAAAAAACTGCTTATTAAAAAATACGAACAAAGAAATATGCGCTACTTATCTATTATTATCTATTGACATTTTTAGTGTTTCTGATAGTACGTGTAGTAAGATTCTCCCATTCTTTTTTAAAATTATCATGCAAAGAATTTATGCTTCCTTTAAGTGTTTAATACAGGTTTTTTATTAGCATTAGCTTTAAATAAATCGGTTGGTTTTGATGTATAGCGATATTTAGATACGGAAAAAAGAAAATCAAGCTTTATTTTTTTCTATCAATATTACAAACATCGTTGAAACTCCGTACGTAACTGATATTGGTGGCTATGCTAGATTCTGGAAAATTTGGCTGATTCGATAAGTTTTGATAAGCTTTTGATTCGAATGTAATCACATCCAAATCAAAAGTTTATTACTCTAAACTTATCGAATCGTCAAATATTCGATCGGTCAACTTTTGCCAAATTTTTCGGAATTTATGAAAACAGCTGTAATTTTGGGGCATCTGGTAAAAAAATTGACCGAATGATTATTTGTCGATTCGATAATTTTTTGATTTCGGCAGTGATAAATTTTTGATTTGAGTAACATATACAGTATATCGATATTTTTTACAATTGTACTTGACGATATCACCATATCCAAAATTAAGTTTTCACTTGAATGCATGTCGGTATGCTTGGTGTGTTTAGTCTGTACATGGCGAAGATTGTTCTTACTAACCAACAGATCTTAACAATAAATATTAAAAAAGGTTTCGAATATAAGACAAGCTTTCATAATAAATGCATTACGCGAGCAGGATGCTAATAAAAAAGTTCAATATGAACCAGAATTGATTACTGGTTTAAAAAATATATAACGCAAGGTATTATTTTAAACAACCAATAATAAATATTTTATTAATATTTGTTGAAACCGTGTTAAGAACTATAATCCATGAAATTAGAGTAATATTTTATTTATATATAAAGATTATTACAAAATATAAGTCAAAAAGAAAACTAGCAAGAGTTAGATAAGAGCATTGAAACAATGGAATTGACAACCAAAGATCCTTTAACTTGTTTATTTATTATAAATATCAGAAACCCACGAACCAAGTGTTGCCCAAAAATCAGTTCCCGTTTAAACTCAATAAATTTTATGGCTTCAATATGTAATCAATAATGATGCTAATTTTTTTAATTAAGCACTAAAACTAAGATTTTTTTTATACTTACTGTACTATGAATTTTTTATACTGCAAATTGTACAGAAGATACAAAGTGTCAAAAACTGTTTGTGAAATAAAACTTGTTCTGAATAGTTAACACGTATTAAAAAATGAAATCCTAAAGCTTTTATTTCTTTATTTTTATTTTTTTAAAAAAATGGTATTGAATTACTATATATTCCTTAACGATAAAATTTTCGTTTTTATTATTGATATACTGTTAGTAAAAAAGAATATGCATGTATGTAAATAGCGAGGATTAAATAAAATTGCAATTTGTATATTGCTTTATTACAGAAAAGAAAAAAAAAGGTTCGATAAGCTATTACTGTATTTTCGCGAAATAATGCCACCCGCGTGTTGTTTTGAGTATATGCGCGTTAATTAGAGTACGCACATGGGCGTTATTTCGAGATAAAGATTGATTTTTTAATAAATTTGCTTTTCTAAGTAACGACAATGTGTGTGTTATATATAAGCGGTTGCGCCAAGAGAAAACTAGTACTCATATCACAGATACTGTATATATGGATGCGCGTTATTTAGGGACGTGCATGTGCGTTATGTTGAAGCCTCATACTATTTTGAAGGAATGCGATTTTCTAAATAAGCCCATGCCCGTTATTTCGCGAAAATACGAGTATCGATGTTTAATTTTAAATTTCGATACGTAACTGATTTTTGGACGACGCTAGGGATGTTTGTTTTCCCTTTACGACACTCAAGTAATACTGTAATATTTGATCAACACTAATCATCGCTTGCGTCTCTTATTATAAACAAGTTTTCCCATTATTGTCATTTAGCAAAGATAAATACAAACGCTTATCTAATTGGCAAAACAATCATTTGGTCAATTTTTTACCAGATGTCCCAAAATTAATGAAAACAGCTGTAATGTCACTCAAATAACCATTTGGGACTTTGTTATGGCAAAATCCCAAACTAGTCTCGGCATTTGACGGGTTTGGGTGACGCCACTAATTGCACTAAATGCAGAGTAACGTGTGAACCATCAGCACGGGAGTTTGTTGGTTTTATTCGCCTAACTTTGCATAGACGTGCATTCATAAAAGTAAAGGGTCATCGCTCCGCTTTGGACAATAGGGCAGTGTTATTAAATGGATTGTTCGTTGGTAATCGTTTGTTATATTGTTTATCACATCACGTAATAAATAATATTATAAAAGGATGCGACAATTACCAACGAACAAACCGTTTGCCATAAAATTACAATTGAACTACATAAATGACGATCATTTTTGTTAGCCAATCAAATCAAACTTGCTCCATGTTGTGTGTCTAACTTATAAAAGCAGTTGGCTTATCGGGTTTCCCACGAAACTTACGTAACTATTCGGTATGACTAGTCCAGAAACTTTAGTAGAAAAAGGGTATGCTACGGTTGGAGGAACACATCGCATTGACAAAACAGAAAATTTTAGAATTTATTATGAAATTCATGGAAAAGGGCCTAATCGTTTATTTTTTATCATGGGTATGTTAGACTTTTTCTCCAAAATTTGTTATAATCGAATAAAAGAAACTCTCCAACATATAATATATATTAGGGTTAAACACAACATCTGGAAGTTGGGAATATCAGGTATTTGATTAGATTATTGTTCATAATAAATGATCCCTAAAATTAAAAAGATCCATGTATAAATGTATAATGTCATCTAACTTTAACATAGGTCAAATATTTTGGAAGACATCCTGACTACCAAGTTTGCATTTTTGATAATCGTGGAGTTGGGTGGTCAGGTTTGTTATTACCTTCAATTACTATAAACTGTTGTAATTACTGTAACCACCGCAATTACTGCAATTGCTGTAATTGCTGTAATTATTGTAATTGCCAGAATTACTGTAATTTTGTAATTGCCATAATTGCTACAATATTACCAAATCAAGGTTTTTGAACTTATTTTATGGTAATTCAAATAAATCAAAGATGCTCCTGGAGGATTGTACAGGTAAACTACACAATATGCATAATATGTTAGCATGAAATTCTGATCTTTAAATTGTTTTTTATTTCTCAGTACGAGTCAAATGGCTCAGGACGCTGTCGACCTTATGGACCATCTCGGATGGACAGAAAATATCCATGTAATTGGAATATCTATGGGTGGAATGATCGCTCAAGAATTGGTTTTATTGAAACCTGAATATGTGAAATCTTTGTGCTTGACTTCAACTACTGCAGGAATGACCATACCTCCAGTAAGTTACATCGTTTAAAGAATAAATCATTCAAAACTCTTTAAATCAAATCCTTTTGAACAGATTGCCGCGATTACAACAATTAGTAGAATCCTTTTCATAAAAGATCCGAGGACTAAAATAAATGCAATTGTGAAAATAATGTTTACAAAGGTAATAAACAAAGTAAAATTATGTTTAATAGCAATCGCAAGATAAAATGTTGCTTGTTATCATAGGAATGGTTAGCGGCACCCGCCCCTCCTGGTTCTTCACACAAAAATAATGAAGAACATATGATTGAGGTAATTTAATCTAATTTTAAGTTTTACTATTCTGATTATTTTTTAAATATATTTTACTCCAAAATATTATTAGGATATGTGCAATAGAATTAGTAGAAGTCGTCTTCAACCGGTTAATGGTATTATAGAATTTTCTTTGCAATAAAACCAATAAAATACACTTTGTTTAATTTTTCAATCCTCTAATTGTCACTTATAGGTGCGATTGGTCAAATAGCTGCAAGTCTCTCTCATTATGTTTCTCCAACGCGACTTCAAAAAATTAGGAATTCTATCCAACCGGTACATATTTTTTACAATAATCCCATTATTGAGTTTTTTTTTTTTTTACATACTCACAATGATGACTTGAATTTTAGATATTAGTAATAACCGGTAGTTGGGATAATTTTGTAAGACCTAACAACAGTTTTTATCTCGCTGAACAACTTCAAGCTGATTTCGAGTTTTGGGAAGGTAATAAAACTCTTTGTACTTTTGTGTTTTGATTAGGGTGCTATTTTTTTTAACCTTAATTATTTATAAACCTAGGTTGTGGTCACATTCCATGTGGTGAACAAATCGAAAGATATAATGCTTCGTTAGAGAAACATTTTAAAAAGGCTGGGTTAATTCATTCGTAATATCTTTAATCAAATGTGATCTTTTGTTATATATCAAGGTTAAAGGTTAGATGAGCTCTGAATAATTTTAATAAAGTTTACACACTGTATTTATACTCAAAATACTAAATAATTGATCCTAAGAATAGAAGTTATACTATTTGTCTTTTCTATTACATTTCATCAATTAATGGCATTCTTTCTATATTATTTAAAATCAAATGAACTTTATACAAAGATTATATAATTGAATGTCTGTTAATCTTGTTTTTTCTTAATGTTCTAATTTTTGTACTCATTTCATTACGATTTCATCAAACTATTATATAGTAATGACCGACCATCACTTTGTTTCTTTAGGAACATCTAAAACATAATGTGCATCAACGTACCTTTCAGCATTATCATCGTCTTCAAAAGTAAGTAAATATTTTAAAGGTATTGATATTTTACTTGGGGGAAGAACTACATCAGCTTTATAAAAGCATGTTGTACCCGGATATAATGCTATAACTGTTGAAGACTGCGAAAATTCCGGTAGCCACATTTCTCCAGGCTTCGGAATTATTAAAACATTTTTTGATGGCACAAAAAATCGTCTGTATTAGCCGAGGAGAACAACATTAAAAATATATAAGTGTGGTGAGTTTAAAAAAAAAACGTGAAAGAAGTTGACACGAGAACTTACTCGCCAGGTCTATTTGAGGCCTCATCTCTATCTGCATCTTCAACCTCATAACTTCATTTGTTTATAAGAGTTATTAAGACGAAAATAAATCTTTAAAAATTTATATCTTATAATTTGATCTACCTCTTTATTTCAGATATATATCCTACAACTATGGCCAAAATCCAGTTCTCTTCGATATCTTTATGTTTAGGTTGTTTTGCTGCAACCTACAATATGTACGTATATCACGCACTAGAATTATTTGTTTTGTTAAAGATTATTATAAAGCACTTACATATGTTCCGTTTTTAATAATACTACGACCCTTTGACTGTAACCTAATAGCATTGAAATTTTTAATGACATATGAATTTCGAAATATAAATTATAAAACTTTACATACACTTTAGATTTTTTCATTAATGTAGCTGCATCTTTACTCTTCTTTTTTTTATAGATGTTCTCATCCGTACTTAAGCCTTCTATTAATAATAATAACAATGATAATTTGTAATAATAAATACTATCTAAATTTATTGAAGATTAAACTAATACTGTACCAGAATGCGTACGAAAATCTTTATCAGATTTTAACGCATGATACTTATCGATAAGTTTGGTAATCGTTTTACACATACTAAACTCAAAAAAAAAAGAAAAAAAAAACAATTGTAAAATTGTTTTTTAAAGGTTTATTTAACGTGTTAAAACCATTAATTACTCTTCCTCACGAACTGCTTGGTCGATAGCTTTTTTATACAAAGCTTTGAGGATTCCTTCAACATCTGGGGCAACATATCCAACTGAATTTAAAAATTATGTCATTTTATTTACTGTTATTTGATTGGATAAAAAGTTTATTTTTAGAAAAATAATATACCACACTGTATTTTTTCATGGTATTCATTTATTGATTCAATTAATTCAATGCCTTCTTCTTCAATTCTTTCTAATGTTTCAAGATTTTCACAAATTCGGGCCCATAAAACGTCTTCTTCGAATGATTGACGTGATGTTTCTTCAAAATATTTGTCCATGTTTATTTATAAAAAGGTCGGAATCCCGGATGAATTTATCTGGATTTATCCTCATGTGATCTGCCTGCGATGTTTGTCTATGATAGAGATATTGATTGGTTCCATTTTATGTATTGTCACCGCAGCTATCCCTTAATGGATTGTCTCTACATGGCATAATCAACCAATAAAATTAAAAATATCAATATTATGTATTAAATCAAACAATACTATAATATTCTAACGTGTGTTTTAATTACCTGATTTGTAAGTATAGTTTTCTTTTTTTTGGAAATGATCAGAGTTGTTGCGTGTTGCGTTTTGTGGTACCATATAGCGCGGACCGTGGTACCTCGGGTATCCGATAGCTTACTATGATCGGACTATCAGGGTTCATAGGCAGAAGTTCGTCTAATTGGCTAATAAATTCAATTTAATTTTAAATTATTTATACAGTTTAGAGTATTTTTTTAAAAAAACGAAAACTAATCATAATGAAAAACAAAAGCAGTATAGAAGGTTCCATTAGAGCTATAGGACTCCATGGCCAAAAATAAGATCTAATTTTCGTCCGTCAGTTTAGAAAAATTAGTATAGTAATAGCTTCTTAATATCAACTTATTACTAAGCTAATTTTTTTAAACGGACGAGAATTAGATCTTATTTTTGACTATGGAGTCCTACAGCTTAATGAAACCTTCTATATGTTTTTTTTTTTACTTTATGATGGTTGGTTTTCGTTTTTTTAAGAAGTACTCTAAACTGCAAAATTAAATTGAATTTATTAGCCAATCAGACAAACTTTTACCTATGACTCGAGGGTAATTACGTTTCACCAAATATCTTCGTTATTTGATTACCATCAAAACAACTCGAGTCATTCCGATGATCCAGTCGTCGCAAGTTATCGGATAATACCGTTATTGAATGCTACGCACCAATAACTTATCTGGCTTTAAATTTAGCGTATCGTTTCTGGGCCCCTACGGGGTCAAGAAGCTGGCACATTAAACTTAAAACCGGATAATGGAATATTTTTATAAAATAACTACCGTAGTGCAATAACCAAAGTACCTCCTTTTTTCGTACCTTCGCTTAAAATACTCGGATATTTTGCATAACATTTTTTTTTTTGCCAAACGTAATACCCGGGTATTTTATAATTTTTGAAGGTGGAGTTTTTATATAAGACTCGGGTATTTTGAATTGTGGTACGTATTTATCTAATTAAATACCTGTTTTTATTAACATTTATATATGCAGTATATAGTAAAGTTGTCAACATTACTTATTGAGAAGAAAAACATATTCATGAATTAAATTCCAAGATACATTAAATCAATTAATCACTTATGTATTGATGAAAATGCATATAATAAATGTAATAATAATAAAATTGCGTTACTTAAATTATTAAGGAAACAATGTATAAATTCATATCACAAAAATGATTTGATAATTTTAATAGAATGTTCAAATGTTAATAAAAGTTGTAAAGTACTTAATATAATAAATAATTATTAGTAAATTATATAATTGAATAAACTTACTTAGTAGCATCTTTATATTTAGTAGTTTTAAGTAGAAAAATTTTAATATTATTTCTAAAAATTGTATATTTGATACTAAATGAAAGATGGTTATAATTTTCATATTCAATATATTTAAATTTGCAATAGTTTAATAAAAATATAATGAATTTGAAAAATTATATAACATTTTGAGTTCAATTTTATATAATAATGTCATGATTATGTATATTGTTAAGGGCAAAACAGATACTAGAGTTGCTCTAATCCAGTATTATTCTAACTTATGCCTCTTATAACAAGAATGACTTTTGAACAAGCCAATAATTATGCATTAATTATACTTCATAGAACTTAAAAGCTAAGCCACCCATCTGAAACAATGCTGTAACAATGCAGAATTAAGAATTATAACTATTTGTTAATATAGATCTACTAAATTGGCCTAGTTGTTTGTGCTATAGAAGGTCATTCAAGGTTTCAATCATAATAACAGATCTGAAACCATTGTGTTCAATAAGAAAATGTTTAATTTTAAGTCTTTGTATCATCTCTTTTTGTGAAACAATTTTTTTTTATATAAAAATGTATCTTTTCTTATAAATAATAGAAGAGAAAAACAAGAATAATATAGGCTGTGTGCTGAGAAAAGAGGCCAAATTGATTTTTTTTTTGAAAAAAAGTTCTTAAGTAAAATAGATGTAGATTTAATTATCTGATTCAGAACATTTATTATTTTCAAAAAAATTTTTTTGTCAATTTGATCTCTTTTCTCAGCACATAGCCTATATTAGTAATAGTTGTAAAATAATAGAAAAACAAAAATAATAATAAACAAAGACCTTGCACTTATGTCTTACACAGGTTGAATGAATAAATAAAGGATAAATAATAAGTAAATAACAGAAAAAAAAACTGCCATTATTCTACTCTATATCTGCCAAATAATAGCAACATAACAGCAACATAACAATAGAATAACAATAAAATAATAGAAGGTTTATTAATATGAATAACATAATAGTAATATAATAGCAAAATAATAGAACAGTTCTATTATTTTACTTTTAGTCTTTGTAACTAAAAGTAAAATAATAAAATTGCTCTACTATTTTGCTATTATGTTACTATTATATTATTCATATTAATAAATCTATTTTTATTTTACTATTATTTTGCTATTATGCTGTTTTTATGCTACTATTATTTGGCAAATATAAGGTAGAATAATGGCAGATTTTTTTTCTATTATTTACTTATTATTCATCTTTTATTTATTTGTTCAATCTGTATTAGATATATTAAGTTGGGTTCTACTTGATATTAGAAACTTAAAGCATCTACACAAAGCATAATATTATATATATATAAAAGAATATGAAAAACCAATATTATATAAGGCTTTGTTGCAAATCTGTAATAAGACTATCAGATGTAGAAAATTAAAAAATTAAGAAGATAAAAACTTATTTAGAAATCTTAAATAAAGAAGTAGTACAAACTTTTAATAATGTTGTCAGATCTATAAAAGTCTATAAAACATTCTCAATGAAATTGTTAAATAAATTAAATAATAGATATGTAATAAAAGCATATGTACTAACCAAACTACCAAAATTATTAAAAAAAAAAGGATATATAAGTATACTATATTGAACCATCTGAATTAGTAATCTGAAAAGTCTTATTGGTTTTGAATAATAGTTAGTAAAAAAAAATAAAGATGATATCAGAAAGAAGAATATTAAAATTTGGATAAATTTTACAAAGATAAAAACAGTTTAATAGATAATTCTGATTGCAAATGTTGGTTTTAAGCATAGCAAAAAAACCAGGTTAGCAATAAAAAAAAAATACAACTTATTCTAAAAGGTTTATTTTAAGAATAAAAATAGTCCTAAAGATTATAGCTCTAAGATTAAAATAAGAATCTGAATACAAGTAATCTGATGAAGTTAATACAAAGTTTTAGATCAAAGAATTTAAATAAAATATTTAAGCAGAGATATTAGGTTTAACAACTAATAAAAACCTTAAGTAAATTTTTTAAATAAATAATATAGAAAAGTTATATGTATAACCAGTTGTATGCTTATTGTTATACTTAACAAAAGTATTAATAAAGTCAAAAAACCAAAGAGATTACTAAAAAAAAACAAAAACAATAAACAGTTTTATATAAAAAACCAAAATTAATAATTTATATTATAATAGTAATAAGTGTATTAAAATAAAATAAAATTAGAAAGTATATAATAACCTAGTAAAGTAAACAAATTATTAACTTTCAAGTGGCAGGTCTAAGGTTCAATTCTTATAGATAATAAATTTTGAAAATTACAATAACTGATTTTTGTCAATTAGTTAAATTTAGGTATTTGTAATCTTAGATACCTAATAACTAAGCCTAGCATCACCTATTATTTTAATAGTGCCTAAATATAATTTGCTATATTATTTTTAGCAAAAGTAAGCTACCTGTCTAACTACTTAAAGTTTATAATAAAAAAGTCTTTTTTCTTTCATAACAGGCTTCCAAATTATCTTTCTAACTTCATCTTCAATTTACTTTTTTTTTCGTTTTCTTTTTCCTCTCTTCTATCTCTTGCTAACTAGTTTTTTTTTTTTGCTTAAATTTTTTTTTTGTTTTTGTTTTTTTATTTTACTTGTTATTCCTTTTTTTTTTTCTTATATATTAATTTTTTATAATATAGGCTTGGTGTTACAGAAAAGAAGAAAATCAACAAATTTTTTAAACCCTATTTTTTTATATAAATCAATTTAGAATAAGATCAGAATTATTTTTTACTTAAAACATAAAAACAATTGTCTTAATAAAATCTTGCAAAATAGCTTTTTTTTTTTTTTTTTTTTAAGATGACCTCTTTGGTCTTTTGACTTTTATTAATCACTTATTGATATTGTGGTTTAATGAATTACTACAGAAGAGAGTACAATTGGCTACACATATAACTTTTCTATATTACCTATTTAAAGAGTCCACCTGAAAGTTCCTTACCAATTGTCATACCTAACATCCCTACTTGAGTGTTCTACTTTAAACCCTCTGGATCTGTAATCTGTGTTAACTTACTGAGTCATATCCAGATGCCTAGATCATTATCTCAACCTTAGGACTAATTTATCCTCAAGATAAACCCCCCAGAGCCTTCTGTACCCATTTTTACAGCTAACTTAGATATTACTATGGCAGAATTAACACTTGTGATTAGAGCTAATCATTAAACCACTATGCTCTTGTAGAGTTCACTTAGATTCTAGCATCTATTTTACAGCATAATCCCAGTACTTTAGTATATCCCTGCCTTTTTATCTGCCTTTTTACCAAACTT